TTTTATATGTTCATGCATGATACCTTTCTTGAGTGATACTGTGTGTACACCATTGCTTCTGTAGATTTCAGCCAACTGCACACACACCATTTCCACCTTTTGGTTCACACTTGGATTTAGACAGTGTTGGTTAAAAAAAAACACAACTCAGTTATGAAAGTTAAATGTTAACTGAAAAATGAGAACCTAGGGCACATCCTGTTGTAGACAGGAAATTTTTCTCTGTATTCACCAAGAACTACACTCAGTTGATTCCCAAAATAACAACTGTTCTATGATACATGTTCCCACTCTACTATTCTTCAGTTGTGTTTGTGTGTGTCTTAGGAACTTCCTGGCAATATAAGAGCATAAGGGAACATAGCAGTTGTGAGGAAGGAGGTTGGAAGAGAACACAACTCCACCAGAACCATTGAACTAAGCCTTCTTCACTTCTCATATCGAGGTGAGGGGGCTTGATCACACTCTGACAGATGAATGTATAAAACTCCAAAATTTTCTACCAAGAAACAGATAGTAAACTCTCTGAATGTGGAACCATCATACATTACTGGAAAGGAATATAAAACACATGTTAAGTTGCACAGGTAAATGATCAACTTCACAAAATATAATCAAACACAATCATTAAAAATTAATGTAAATATCCCAATGAAAGAAAAGTGTCTTTATAATAGGATAGAAATGTATTTGTAGTTAATAAGTGCCATTAATCAGTGAGAAACATTATTCTGGGATGAAAAATCTTTTGTTCTTATGAAAGCAATTCATTAAACTTACAGACATGTGGCTTCAAGCAACTTCCCTCTTTACCCACCCACCTCATGTTTGTAGTGGAAGTTCATATTCTTTAAATGAAAATGGGGGGAAAACCCAATAAGGTCTTACATACTCATGAAATTATATGAAGACAGATCCAAGATATTAAATATATTTTTATACAGTTTTCATGAGTGGACAAGATTGCTCAAAAGATGATAGAATCCTTCTAGTAAAGTCAAGTGAATAGATGGTGAGGACATAGACATCATAACTATTAATAAGTAATCATGGCTTGAGGAAACTCACTTCACATAAAAAGATTCATGAGTCACTCTATTACAAATTAGTCTGAAATATAAAATCAGCATTGTCTATGGTTTACCCCATCTACTATTTGCTTTGTATAAAAGTTCCTTTGCAGATGGTGACATTCAAACTCAGGAAACATGTCTTGCTTCTCAGCTGAACCTTCCACTCCTAAGAGAATGTGCTCAGCACCAACTACCGTGGTGTCCAGAGCTATAGTCA